GATAGCAATAGATCAGGTGAGCTTAATTGTAATAAATCGAATAACAGAATTGTGACTCACTCTACACCTGAGGCCACAATTTGAACAAACAAGAATCTATACAGTCACTACACAGTCACTACACTCATTTTTTATATTTTCTGGCCCATGATTTCATTTATTGACTTCCACTTTATTTTCGCATACTGTCCCCATGAAATAGATTTGTCCTTGGTTTAAACAGTTAATTTCTTTTCTCTATACATATAAATGTTTGATATTGACTTTGCTCATATTGGTCAAGAGGTTCATAGATGAAGTTGAAAATCTGAAAAATTTATAAACAGACATGGACAAAGGGTATTTGAGCTTTCCACTCAGTTCCTCTAAAATGGTGTAGAATATCTTAATAATGTAAAACATGTCAAGCAGGCATTTTTCATATGTTTTATTATTTTACAGCCATGTTGCTCTTAACATGCCTTTGCCATGAAAAAATTATAACAGTTATATCGCTCTATTCTGGAGAAGAATAATTATAGTTTTCCCCTATACTGTATATCCCAGTTTTAACCCTTGATCTCTTATTGTACTCCCAAACTACCACCCGCGTTTAGATTTGAACAAATGTGAATCCATACTTTGTCAGTGCATTAGTCTTTTATCAGATGCTACCAAATACTAATTCTTTATTGATACTCTCCCAATAAAAAGTGTGGTATTTCATTTCAATAAGTTTGAATTCCATTTACCCAATGATGTTTTATGGCATGATTTCTTGAAATTAGCACAGTTGTTCTAGGGAAGAAGTTGAAATGTCCAGAAAAAATAAGAAACAACGGAGAACAAAACAAAAGCCAACAACCACAAATCAGAAAAGAGAAGTCGAGATTTTGTTTTTCAAGTTAGCTTTTTATTTAAGGAATGAAGCTAATTTCAACTTATGTTATACGATATAACATAACTTGGGGCAGTTTACGCTTTATAAACCGCGAAGCGGTTTATAAAAAAGCGTAAACTGCCCCAAGTTTTGTTATATCGTATAACATAAGTTGAAATTAGCTTCATTCCTTATAATTTAATTTCGGTATAGACAATAAGTTTTTCCTCCAGAATACGGCTTCAAATTGAGCATTATTTTAAAAGTAACGTCAAGCGGAGTAATAAGTTTTTGACGTAACTCATTGTGATGTAGGTAAGTTATGTTATCCAAAATATTATATGTTCCTCTGAATGCTTCAGCCAATGAAATAGCTTGATACAAGTGAAATGAAATTATAATACTGTAAAAGCAGTAATATTCTTTTGGAATTTGAATCTGTTTATTTCGTTGTCAACAATAGCAAATTAATTACATCCAACACATTTTTTTTAAAATAATTTTGGTTACTTCACAAACACTGAAAAAAAACTTTTTAAATGACGAATCAATTAAATTTTATTTATTTGCGCCAAAGGTTCTTTTATAATCTTAGGAAATTAATTACATCCAACACCGTTTTTATTCGATTTTTACTCGCGCCTTTCCTAAAATTTTCCACATGGTAACTTCCGGTTTCGTGACGTTTTCTTGAAATATCAAAACAAAAACATTAAAAAGCGGAATATCAGTAAATAATAGGAGGTATGGAGTTACTTCAAGATCAAGCATGTTATAATAGCTATTTACTGAGTATTTAGCACGCAGCACTGTTAAGGCTTACTATGAGAAATCAACGGAAAAAAAGTGCAAAAAACGGGAAATTTTTAAAATTGAATTTATTTTTATTCAGCAATTCTATTATCACAGAACCTAAATACTTATGGAAATAGCATGGTATAACATACTCTGTACTGTGTAGACTTTGGTCCCATCGATGGACAGTCACGTGATGAACGCATAGCAGGTACACGGAATGTAGGTCAATAACAAATTTCAATATCGCAAGGGCATATCCTAATTGAAATTAAAAATTCAAGCTATTAATTGTTTCTGTGTACTTTGTAGTTTCTGAAAAGTGCTGCTGCTTTGAATAGAATTCGTGTTTTAATACTTAAATGTTTAAGTAAATAGGCCAATGTCGAAATATGTTAGAATTTTACCAAATATTTTGTGCACTTATAAAATCACGGCCTCGATTTAAAGAAAGCAGCAGCACTTTTCAAGTTAAGGAATATATCCTTTATCTATATTTTAAAAATAGTTCAGATCTATGCAGTGTATGCCCTTGCGAAAATACGATTTTATGAGGCATCTCGATGTAAAATATACGTAACCTGTACATAAAGCACGATATAATTAATAAAATACATTCTCTTTGTAGTTAATTAACAATCGCACTAAACAAAGGCTATACCTTGGTATTAATCGACTATTTAAAATCTCTAAATAATATTCCGTTTAATAATAAAACACATTTTTCGTTGATAAACAATTTCTTTATTTGCCTGTCACAGCACATGAAGTACGTCATTTTTACCAGTATGACGTCATGTTTACAAGTTCATCGCGACGAGTGCTTTGTCTACAACAAGCTACATGGGATTTAACTAGCAACTTTTTTAATGCATTGATAAGTTATAATGTTGTTTATTATGCTAATACTGTTCAGCGCTGCAGATTATTTCATTTACACGTATAATAAGAACTACATAAATCTCATATTTTTGTCTGACGTCATAGTATACTTTTCCCGTATAAATTAGGCCCCGCCCCCTTATTCAAGCCTTAACAATGCTGCGCATGGTCAAATATTTCAATATTTTACTAAATATTTAAAACAAGACTGTATAGTATGAAGTGTTGAAGTTCCTTTATCCCGCCTTTGATAAAAATCTGTGAAATTCATTGGTCGAAAAGAATACTGCATGAAACGATGTTATGCTGTTAACCCACATCATATTGCTAATGTGCCCCTTCCACATGACCTACTGCACAGATCATAATCAATATGTTGTTTTCATTTGAACACACACAGAGTAAAAAAATTGATCTCATATACACATTTAATGATGTCGCAATGTAAACATTTGTTACGGAACAATTTACTTAAACAAAAAAAAAATATTTTAAAGAATCTTTGATTGGATAATTCATTATGTAGACACTTAGAGGGGTACTAAATACAGAAATATGTGGGGTTCTCGATAAAACATTTTGGGCTCGGCTTACGCCTTGCCCAATATGCATTTTTTTCAAGGACCCATATATTTCTACATTACCCATCTAAGTATCTACATAGCTACAAAGAATAAGTGTGAAATCAGACAAAAAACAATTCCTTAAATATAATTCATTTAGTAGATATATCATTTGAGTCTAAATACCGAAAGAGGAAAAGAGAAAATATATAGGGAATTGGACCTACATATAAAACTCCTGCATCCCTAGTTAGGCGTTAAACAGATTGAGTTACCCTGGCCAATATTCACAGTTCAGTAAAATCATTAAAAAAACACATGATAATTCATAAGCACAACTTAGTTGATCTTACAGTAAGAGAAACATATAGGCAGCACAAAGAAAAATAAATTAATTTAAAAACATTTATTTATATAAATTACATATATTGAGAATAGAATTGGAAGTTGAAATAGTTTTACGATTGAATGAGTTTTATTTTTATATAGGAACAAGGATTTGTCTTAGATACCAGATGTAGGATCTTTTGATGTCTTAGTTTACCTCATGCAGAAGTGTCGGTGGAGTTCTGCATGTGTATTAAATTACAAGCAGGAAAATCAATGGTTATTATCTTCATATGGTAGGACATATTCCTAAATTTTCATATTTTGTTTTTAAAGCTATTGAATGAAAAATTTGATTTTTGAGTACATGAAAGTTTTTAGGATGATAGATTTTGAAAACATAATTATAATTAGTTAACATATAGTTAATTAACATTATATACACATTTTCTAATTTCTTCTTTTTTTACTACAGGATATATTGGAGCATGTAGTATTGTGTTGCCTTCATTTTCTCATTGTCCAATTTTTCTGTGAAAGGCACAGGGACCAAAGCACAGAGGCCTATACAAAAAGTCCATACCAAGTGAAATGAGCAAGACAGATAGAAGATTGATCATACCCAACAACCATCCATTGTGCCCGCATTGTGTAATATCCACACATAAAGCGTGCTGGTTTTGAGATACACACAGAAACTTAGACATTTAAGAGCATTGGCAATTAATTTTATTACAATGTATAGCATTGAGTATTAAATCATTATACAATGTACATAAAGAGTAGCTTAAATTTTATAACTTTTAACTACTGTGGTTTCATAAATTTTCATTGGCCTCAATTTTCGTGGATTTTGTAAAACATACGTTTTCGAGGATACGTAATTTCGTGGACAAAAGCATTGCCTGTACAAATGAATGTCATATTTCGTAATTCAATGAACATTTGAATTCGTGGATCTGCTCAATAATGAAATCCACGAAAATTGGTGCTCAACGAATATTGATGAAACCACAGTACTTCTTTCACTTCAGGACGGTTTATGTTTGAAACTTTGTAGCACTAATAGTACATAAAGTATTTCTTATAAGCTACATATAATTTTAAAAGATAAAGAATGTTTAATTAGCTTTCAGTCAATAATTTTATCTATTTTTTAAAAATGAAATGCATATCATATGTATAATATACATTGTATGTCTAGTTGTTTTAATACAATTATTTGAGACTTTTAAACATAAACATTTTACAAATCTGAAGCATTTTTCCCTCATAATAATTAATTCTTTACAAGTAGAGTTTGAAGTTTGCACAAAAATGCAGATACAGTAAGAATTTGATTTGCTGCAGGTTTTAGATTTAGTGGCATAGTTTTTGACAAAATTCGAAAAGTTTTCAATCTACCAATAGCTTTCTCTACACGAATCCTCAAGTGAACAATATTTGGATCTGTCGGGATTGTATCTGGATCATTATACTGTTTTGCATTTTGCTGCAAATTGTCTGTATCAGTCATGCTGAAATCTGTCTGAGTTGATGCATCTGCGTTGCTGAGAAGGATACCGGTACATGCTCTCCATAATCATGATCTCTTGCAATAGCTTCTATATAAAGCAAACATCGGTATTAAGACACTTTAAGAATGTAAATACAAACATCTGCTTGATAATAGCCATTTGTAATTCTGAAATTAACTGATGATGTGAATTCATAATATCAATATAAGATGTAAAATAACAATTTTAAGCACCTGACCATGGGTGGGAGACAGATGTCTCCATGTCAGAAATCACACATTCTTTTACAACAGCCATTTAATTCTAGGGGATTCATGTCATCAGCATCAACCTGAGACAAGAATTAAATGATTTATTAAGCAACAATTAAAAGAAACATTTCAACAGTACACATGGTCAACAATACATGACAGTACTGAATATTGTATTATTTTTTATAATTATATATTGATATGTTTAGTGTAAGAATTATTAAAATAGAGAACATTGAAATTCAAAACAACTTACAATACGTTTTATTGGTGTCAAGTCATAATCAATGCAACCATCCTCGTCTCTGCAGACACCAGCATCGTTCTTCATAGAATTGTGTAAATGTAATAAAGCCTGTTCTCTTTTTAGAATTGAGGTATTAGGGCGAATCTACAAACGAAATTCATCTTTATTGTAGCAGCGTATTCATAGCAATAGTTGTGTATTTATTAATTGCAAAGCTTGTATACGTTTGATTTTTTAGCTCTATTGGTCAAAGACCAGAAGAGCTTATGCGATAGTAATGCGTCCGTCGTCCGTCCGTCCGTCTGTCTGTCTGTAAACAATTTTTCAAAATGCTACTCCTCCTACAGTTTCGGTCTGATTTCAATATAGCTTAGCACACAAGTAGACTACACTTAGACACATTATTCTGTGCATCGGTTTTTGATTTTGATAAACGGTGTTACCATGGTTACTAAAAATATACATTTCTGTGAAATTCTTTCAAAATGCTACTTCTCCTACAATGTTTGTCCGATTTAAGTATAACTTAGCACACAAGTAGACTACACTAAGATACATAATTCTGTGCATTGGTTTGAGATTTCAATGAACGGTGTTGCCGTGGTTACTAAAAATAGAAATTTCTGTGAATTTTTTTTCAAAATGCTTCTCCTACTGTTTTGGTCTGATTTCAATATAACTTGACACACACGTAGACTACACTAAAACACATAATTCTGTGCATCCGTTTTTGATTTTGATGAACGGTGTTACCATGGTTACTAAAAATAGAAATTTCTTTGGAATTCTTTCAAAATGCAACTTCTCCTACAGTTTTGGTCCAATTTCAATATAACTTGGCACACAAGTAGACTACACTAAGATACATAATTCTGTGTATGGGTTTGAGATTTCAATGAACGGTGTTGCCGTGGTTACTAAAAATAGAAATTTCTGTGAATTTTTTTTCAAAATGAACGGTGTTACCATGGTTACAAAAAATATAAATTTATTCTTTCAAAATGCTACTTCTTCAACAGTTTTGGTCCGATTTCAATATAACTTGGCACACAAGTAGACTACACTAAGATACATAATTCTGTGCTTGGGTTTGTGATTTCGATGAATGGTGTTGCCGTGGTTAATTAAAATAGAAATTTCTGTGAAATTCTTTCAAAATGCTACAGTTTTGGTCCGATTTCAATATAACTGTATGAAAATATAATATATAAAAATTTTATATAAATTCATATAAAATATGACACAGGAAGATTGTACTAAGATACATATTTCTGTGCATCAGATTAGCGGCAAGGATCATTTTTCTATTATTGCTGTTTTAAAGTTTCAAGTCCGAACTGCTACTTTTTCTTTGTTTTAAGTATAAACCAGTAGAGTTACAGTCTCGACAGAGACTTCTGGTTTTTAATTTGCAACTGTGAAATATAGGCATTATGAGGTAAATTAATTATATTTTAAACTTTTTTTACTTTATTTGAAGTTGTTATATTCAAATACTTCTGGGTATGGGTGGTCAGGAGTGGGTTTTCCGTCCACAAAGTGTAAGGAACAGACCCGTCGCATTCCTTTTGGCTCAAAGTCGGATCCCCTTCTTCTAAGGTTAAGACATTTTTTTCTTTTTGTTGGTGCCTTTATTTTGGAGGGGAAGACAAAAAACTGTACTGACGACATGTACCCATATCTCCCCTGTATTCAGACGTCAGATCTTCAGCCAGGAGCCGCGCAGGAGTACCAGTCGGCGTCTTTTTTCGCTTCAAACGGTTTGTTTCCAACGTAAACAATGACAACCGGAAATAACCATGAGGAACATTTTTGTGAAATCACGTGATCGGCGTGAATAAAAGTCAAATAAAAACGGTGTTCCAGCATAACTCGAAACGCGGCTATTTTTTTAATAATTGTGGTTACTTAACAAACACTGAAAAGCAACGAACCTTTTTCAATGACGAATCAATCAAATTTTATTTATTTGCGTTAAAGGTTCTTTTATAATCTTTTATACTGTATATAATAATAGACATAACAAACATGCACATTTTATGAATAAAAAATGTAAAATAGAAAAGAAAAGTAATTCCTTATAACAGAATCAATGGATATACAATAACATCCAGTTCTACACCAAGTTGATAACATTTGAACATATTTCATTGCTATCAAACTTAACAAAACTGACTACGCCATCTCCCTACATATAAACTATTTCACACATATTTATGTATATGTACATGTGTTTTAACATTATGAATAATAATAACATAATAATCAGGAAAACAAGCATTTCCCTATTGTGGCGTCACCATGCATACTGGGGTCATGATTTGAATAATTTAAAATCCTTTCAACACAATCTACACATGGATGCTCTCACAAAAAGTTTCAGCCATTCTGGCCCAGCCGTTCTTGAAAAGATTTTAAATAGTTCCACTTGATTATCTCACCTTGCCTTGTCTCCTTATTTCAAAAATTATCTCCCCTTTCAATGATACTTTGGTTAAAGTTGGCTGAGTGGTTCTTGAGAAGAAGTAAAAATGTGAAAAGTTTACAGACGGAGGCACAGCAAGACAGACAGATGGACAGACGAAAGACGGATTATCAGATAAGCTCACTTTCAGCTCAGGTGAGCTAAATAGATCTAAAAAATAGATAATAGGGAGTAATTACTTACCGCAAGAAGTAACGAGTTCCATTTGTCAATAACAAGGGTAAAAAAGTAGAATTATGGATTTGACATCTGCATTTTGGTATGCAGTAGTTAATGGATTTCTCGTACTGTTATTTGATGCATAGCAACACAGATATGGTATTAGATCAATCATGTAATCCGGAAATTGGTTATTGTAAATTCTTCACTTTATAGTTATCCCAGTATTTTTCCTCTTTCATGATAGGGTACCCATCCAGTTTCAAAGTAATGTATATCTTTAGAAGCTAACAGAGTCAGGCCTGTGAAAAGGTTTAGCAGAACATGATTGTAATTTTGCTATCACATACATTACATTTACCCCACACCAAGGAAAGCATTGTTTACTGGCCTAATAAAAGATTGTGTACAGGGGTTTTCAGATTTACTACCGATTTATTTCTTTAGTAAACTCACTATAAAAATGGAATATCCAGGGGTATTTAATTTTTACCCTGTCTGTCTGTTCGTCCGGAATTGATAAAACCTTTGGTCATATCTTTTGAACAGTTGAGCTACGGCTTTCATATTTCACGTGTATCCGTATGACATCTACCAGGTATATCATACGTTTATGAGTTGAAATAAAAGAATCTTATGGCAATCACAATCAAATTAAAAGTAACAGAATATCATGGAAAATATTTTTTGTCGTCAATGGCTTTAACCATAATATCATATTTTTCTATTCACTGATACAAAATAGAATGACCTGGTAAAATTTTATCTTGTATTCATAACAAACAATGTCTCCTAACAAAAAAATACTATAATCAACTACAGTTTACTATTGTATTCATAACAAACAATATCCCCTAACAAAAAAAATACTAGAATCAACTATAGCTTACTATTGTAACTATAACGAACTATTGTACTGGATTGATTTTAATTTCTTTTTAACCACATTAAATCAAAGTTTTCACTATAATAGTAAATCAAAATAAGAAAGTTCTTAATTTGATACCAAAGTTAAGTAAAACATTAAACTATAGATTACTGTATTGAATTTTTGTTGGGTTTGTCAGGTATCATAAAGTGATTGTACATGTGTTTTTATTAAATTATAAGGAATTTTGGTGGTCTCTGATTGGTCTAGACGCCATTTACTGGTGTTTACCTCAGAGTGAGTTCACCTCAAATGACGTTCTGGGAGGTTTATTCGGGTTTTCCCTCTCGACCAACCATAGATTTGCTTACAGTTTTTTCGACCATTCAGATTGCGTGTTTCAAAGCATGTGTCGGTGTGAATGTAAACATGTCAGACGCCATTACCAAGGAGATTACGAACTTTTGAAAGTAAATGGTTGAGTATTTATTGTTTATTAATATTGTTTTGAACTTTTTAACTAATATTTGTTTAGCTGTTGATGTATATCAACATGTAAAAAGTGTAATTACACTTTACATTATGGATGTTTATATTTGATGGAGACAAGAATGAAAGAGTCAGCAGTGTTGTAAAATTCCTCATCATTTAATAAAACGGTTATTGACTTTTAAATTTGTTTTGACTATACAGACCTGGTCAGGTATTGGTTAACCTCGGCCTTCGGCCTCGGTCCAATACCTACCAGGTCAATTGTCACGAGTAGACCATCAAAAGTCAATAATTGTATAGAGTATACTAGTAATTGATTCTTTTACTTTATTAATTCAAAGCAACTGAACAATGACACAAGTCTATTATTACTTACAATGGGGGATCATCTTGAATGAAGAACAAATACACCATTTACATATAAAAAAAATCACCTTGTGACAATAAACATAACAGTTTAGCAGTATTTTATATTAAAGATTTCAACATTTTGTCATTGATACATGTAGAATGAAACATATTTGTACAAAATAATGTAATTGTAAGAGCCTTTTAAATTTGTTTTCTAAGGCATCTTAAAATCCTCTGTCCTTTTACAGTCAATTGTCATACCAAAATAATTAGGTATATCCTATTTTTTGGTACTCTGAAATATATTGAAATGTTACATTCCTGTGACCTTCTGTTCGAATGTTGACGTCAACTCATTTGTTGTTTTTTTTATTGGTCCTTGTAAAATTAATAGAATGTTTAATTGTAATTAGTTGTTGTCTAGAATCCTGGTTCTTGGATTAACCTATATCTCAGGTCTAAGTATCAGATCCTAGAAACAAAATTATGGCTTTTCCTTAACGAATTCAGACTAGTTTAACAATGAGCACATTCATGTACACTGTAGTCGTGCTTGTTGCATCCTTATCTTCGAGCTTCATTTCTGCTGGTTTAATTTCTTGCACACAAGACAGTATTGATTTCACAATTTCATGCTGTTCTTCCATTCTTATTCTTTCTATTACGACATCTTCAGTTTTCCTTTTTTGGGCCCTTGTGTGAATATCAGTAATATTAACCAAGTACATCTTTTCAGCGAAAGTTTCCAATTCTTGGCAGGTATCGCGATAATCGACAAGTATTTCTGATTTATGACTATATGAAACCAAGCAAGTGAATTGAAATTTTCATATCTTTTTCACTTTTATTTGAAAAGAATTAAATTATTCATATTTAATTGGTTTATCTAGTAAGTCTTCTTAAAGTTACAGATATTTAAATTTTCAAGTATTCATGAAATGTTCTAAGATTTATATTCTTAATTCGATAAATGCTTCATTTCAAGCCTTTCTATTGCTGCTTTCACATCTTTCATATCTGACCACATTTCTTTCACCATTTCATGCTGACTTTCCATTTTGATCTTTTCTATTGCAGCATCTTCATTTTCTTTTCTTAAGGTCAGTTTCCTTATTTTATTTAAGTTACCCAAGTAAGCCTTTCCAGTGAAATTTTCTAATCTTTGGCAGAGATCTGATATAATCGACCAGGTGTTGTTGAATTCTGTCTGAGGTGTGGAGGCTGAGCTCACATGTGCAGCCAACTTGTTTCGCATTAACCTAATTCTCTCGATATCATCACCAACAGTAATTTCTCCTACTGTTGGCATACTGTCTTCTCCCCATTTTCCCTTTGTTGGTTTAGGTATCTTTTTACAAATATTTCTTAGCAACGTGTATGTTAGTGAAATATCAAAATTTGCATATCCTGAATGTTGAGCAGCTTGTAAGAGTTGTTCTTGTTCAGGGCGTAATCTTTTATGAGTATTCGGCGATGCCTTCACTTTGCTATAAATAACAGATGGATGAACCTCCATCTCTAGTATATCTCGGTATGCCTGATTTAACACGTCGTGCGTTGCCATTCCAAGTTTGGCAAATCTAGATCGGCCCCCATGGTCTTGTCCACAAGCTGTCGAAGTGTTGGGATTACTCAGGTTTGCCTGCTGAAACAATTTAATCAAAATTACCAAGAGATATCAGAAAATATATAAAATTAACTACGAACAAAATCACATTATAGATTTAATATGACATTGTTATATATTTTATTCTTGGAAATTAAGATCCTAAAGTGGACATAAGTGAACGCAACATTGAATGGATAATTCAAATTTGAATATTGGTATGCTCTAAAATGATTTCAATGTCATATTATCATTCTATAGAAACTTATCAAAATTTGTAAATTGGTTTGTAGTTGCCAAATGTTTTATTGTAATGGTTTACAATTTTGAAATTTTAGAAGATTAACCTGATTCCAATATTTTGTGATATCTTCTGTGTTGACACAATGCTTTCTGTTTGCCGGACAGGATGGACACTGAAATGTATCTCTGGTAAACTTAGAATCACTAATGACAGCGCTTACTCTGCTGTCACAAAAACCAGTAGGTTTGCATTTGAACGCAACTAGGAATTCTGAGTTCTTCTGAAATGCGTCAGAGAGATTTTGTAAGGTATGTTCAAGGATTTCTCTAATCTGGTGACAGGTTAAAACATCAACTTCTCCCTCCACAACAAACATCTGCACTTGAATTTCTGTTTGAGTCATTCCAAGCATAATGTTATGGTGCTGGTCATGAAACACGAGAATAGCTGCAGTCTGGTAAATGCATCCTCTTTCTTCATCAGAAAATATCTCCCAAGGAATCTGCATGCAAATTGCTACAAGGCGATGGAAAATTTCAACAGGAAGAACATCAAACGTGTAGCAAAGGATGGAGGAGGCAGGGTATGTTGAAAAACAGTCTACTGGAAATTGCATCTTGTTCATACACGGGACATACCATATTTTGTCGCTCATTTTAGCTAAGAGTCCAAGCTTCTCCATGTACATCATGATATCCTCTTTGTGCTCAAGGTAACCATTGTTGTTCATTCTCCATATGGCAGATAGCAATGTTTCATCTAACTCTCCAGTTTCATTGAATTTGTCCCATTCTGAAGCAAATTCAAATAAATCTTCTTTTGCATGGTTTTTATCTGTTATGACATTTCTAAATGCATCTGCAAACCACTGAACATCGAGGATAATAACTTCATTGAGGAATTGTTGATTGAAGTGTATGAGTTCTCTAATGCCATGGAAGAACTGCAGCATGGAATCCATATCTTCAATAGTACTGAGCTTTATTCCCTCTGGCAATGTTTCATTAAAAGACTGAAGTTCGACCGTACTCAAAATCTTGCGAATTTTCTTTTCCTGAAAGAATGTTTCAAACATAGCCCATGACTGTGGAAGCTCTTCACCCCAGTGATCAAGCTTGCACACGACATCAGCAATTGACAGCTTAAGATTTTCAATGCTTTCATTGTCATGGAATCCGACTGCAAATCGCCGTTTCACATCAATATGTTTTTGCAAAGACTTCTTCTTCATGTCAAGAGTCTTCCATATTTCTCGGAAAAACAATTCTTTTTCCTAACGAAAACAAATTCCTTATTTTATTTCATGCTAAGAACTCAGTCATTGTAAAATAATACTCACAATCATACAATGATTGTAAATGTTTTGTTCCCACAGAGCTGATGAAACGCATTTATATCTGTAAATATTATATTGAATATATACAAGGAGAAAACCCATGCCAAAGTAAAATATCTGGTGTGTGTGTAAACAATAAACAACAGTATTTAACAGGAGGCCCAGGGGCCAAATCACTCATCTGAGCAATTGGCAAGGAAAAAGCACATATCAGATCAGAACTGAAAGTTAACTGAGGTTGGGAGGGCTTGAATTTCAAACCTCCAGGTGGTCATGATTTAAACCAACTAGAATCTACACTACCTGAGGATGATTCCCTATAAATGTCAGTAAGCATGGCTTTGAAGTACTTTAAAAGAAGGTTTTAAAAGTTTTCCCTATATATTACAAGGTAAAACTTTTATCGGTCATTTGGCCCCACCCTACTCCCAGGGGTCATGATTTGAACAAAGTTGAATCTACAGTACCTGGGGATGATTCCACAGGAGTTTCATCTTTCCTGTCTCTTACCGTTCACGGTAGCCTAGTGTAAGAGCGTTCGCTTCGTGGTCGGGAGGCCCGGGTTCGATTCTCGTTCCCGACGCCGCGTCAAACCTAAGACGTAAAAATAGGTAGCGACTGTTCCTTCGCCAAGCGCTCGGCATCAGAATTGAAAGTCATGGGTCTTTCGGATATGACCTTAAAAATGTAGGTCCCGTGTCAAGGTAGGCGCTGGCACGATAAAGTACCCTCACTGCTAAATGGCCCTGAGTGCAAAGTATAGGTCTAAATTTGAAGCTCTTCATCGGCATCGGTGACGTCTCCATATGAGTGAAAAATTCTCGAGAGGGACGTTAAACAATATGAAATCAATCAATCAATCTTTCCTGTCTCAATGGTTCTTGCGAAGAAGACTTTTCTATATATTCCTATGTAAAAGTTTGATCGACCATTTTGTCCCCACCATACCAACGGGGGTCATGATTTGAACAAACTTGAATCTAAACTACCAGAGGATGATTCCACATGAGTTTCATTTTTCCTGACCCAGTGGTTCTTGAGAAGATTTTCAGATTTCTCCTATATATTCCCATGTAAAACTTTGATCAGTCATTTTGGCCCCATCCTACCCCCGGGGGTCATGATTTGAACAAACTTGAATCTTCACAACCTGAGCATGATTCTACAAGAGATTCATCTTTTCTGGCCCAGTGGTTCTTGAGAGGAAGATTTTTTTTAAACATGCCATTAATTTTTTTTCTAATTCATAATTATCTACCCTTGAAAAAGGGCGTGGCCCTTCCTTTGAACAAACTTGAATCCCCGTTTCCTAAGAATACTTTGTAGCAAGTTTGGTTGAAATGGGCCCAGTGGTTCTTGAGAAGAAGATGAAGTTGTGAAAAGTTTACAACAACAACGACGACGACAAGACGACAACGACAGACAACGGAAATTTTTGATCAGAAAAGGTCACTTGAGCTTTTGGCTCAGGTGAGCTAAAAATGATACCTTTTCTGCTTTATTCTCACTATGTGTACCAACTAGGATGACAGGAGCCTTATCACTGCCATATTGATGAATGGACTTCATCCAGAATTCTAGATAATCTGAAAAATAAGGAAACATTCAGCTGAAAGAGTTTTCTTTAAGAAAGATTGCAGGAAATGATGGCAAATGTACATGAAAAGCTATATGTGTAAGAGCTATTTACAAGGCTGGGCATATATGTAACAAACTTATTGCAGTCGTAAAACTGCACAGAAGGGCAAACAAAATAAAAATAGTTCTCATTTAGGATAAAAGTTTCTTAAGTCTAAAGATTTAAAATTTAATGAGGCAGATAGTTTTTGGAAATATGGAAAATCTAATTATTTCCTTTTTTAATATGTCAAAAACATTTACCGTTCACGGTAGCTCAGTTGGTAGAGCGCTCGCTCCGTGATCGGGAGGTCGTGAGTTCGCCTCTCGGCCGCGACCGACCTAGTCGTTAAAATGGGTAGCAACTGTTCCTTCGCCATGCACTCGGCACTTTGAAGTGAAAGTTGCAGGTCCTTCGGATGAGACCTTAAAAACCGAGGCCCCGTGTCAGCGGCAGGCACTGGCACGATAAAGATCCCTCACTGCTCAATGGCCCTGAGTGCCGATTAAAGGTCAAAATTTGAAGCCCTTCACCAGCATACGGTGACGTCTCCATATGAGTGAAAAATTCTCGAGAGGGACGTTAAACAATATACAATCAATCAATCAATCAAAAAAGTTCATCAATGCAATAAAAATTGATATGATGCGGTGGTGCTTTTGGGCCATACATGTAATATAATTAAAATATTACCTCTGTGTGTCCATCCCCCATAAACAGAACCTTTCTGACAACACACTTCTTCTCCAACCTTATCATCAAACTTCTTCTCCATATTCAGCACCAGAATAAAGAATGCACGTGGACTCAAAAAAATCTGATGTGAGGCATAATATGAACACTGTCCTGCAAAGTCAGTCATGGTAATCTTTTTATCTGGATCTTCTGAAATATCTTCTGCGCCTATCTGTAAATTTCCATAAATTTCTGGACTATGACAAATATTTTTTCTTTCCTCTATAACATCTGCTACATTTTCTGGCGGTGTGGCCTCCTGTGGTTCATGGAATGAGGTGATTTTGATGTCGATATCATCATGTGATATCTGTCCAGTGCTTGATGCTTCAGTCGTATTGCCCTTTTCATCTTCTGGTTCTAACTTTCCCTGCATTTCCCCATCATCAGCTGGATTTTCTGAATGAGATTCAGGGACACTCTGTTGCATATCTTTTTTATCAAGTTTAAGTTTAAAGCGTTGTTGTTTGCTGTATGAATTTACTGTAAATAAAAAGGAATACATTTTAAAGACACAGTGGCGTAGCATTGTGTTTGAAAGTGTGGGGGGGGGGACAGCCATATAATTTTTTTTTACTTACCTGAAAAAATTGACAAGCCAAAAAAAAAACAAAAAAAAACAAGAGGCCCATGGGCCACATTGCTCACCTGAGAAGCTTTGACCATTCTCTTCTTTACCAGATTTCCCCCTTGTTATACATAATGCATCCGCACCCTACCCCATTGATCATAATTTAGACATTTTGAATACTAAACTACCCCATGATCCTTCCATGGACACATATGTTTCAGCTTTTTTGGCCCAGTGGTTCCTGAGAAGAAAATTTTCAAAGATTTTTCCTATATATTTCTATGTAAAGCATTGATTCCCTATAATGGCCCCGCCCTTCCCCCGGGGGTCATGATTCCTACAATTTAGAATTTACACTACCCCAGAATGCTTCCATAAAGCTTCACTTTTTCTGGCGCAGTGGTTCTTGAGAAGAAGATTTTCAAAGATTTTTCCTATATCTTTCTATGTAAAATTTTGATACCCCATTGTGGCCCCGCCCTTCCCCCGTGGGTCATGATTTGAACAATTTAAAATCTACACTATACCAAGATACTTCCACATAAGTTTCAGCTTTTCTGGCCCAGTGGTTCTTGAGAAGAAGATTTTCAAAGATTTTTTCTATATATTTCTATATAAAACTTTGATTCCCCATTGTGGCCCCGCCCTTCGCCCGGAGGTAATTTTTTGAAGAACTTAGAATTTACATTATACCAAGATGCTTCCACATAAGTTTCAGCTTTCCTGGCCCAGTGGTTCTTGAGAAGAAGATTTTCAAAGATATTTCCTATATATTTCTATGTAAAACTTTGATTCCCCATTGTGGCCCGGCCCTTCCCCCGGGGGTCATGATGTGAACAATTTTGAATCTACACTATACCAGGATGCTTCCACATAAGTTTCAGTTTTTGTAGCCCAGTGGTTCTTGAGAAGAAGGTTTTCAAAGATTTTTCCTATATATTTCTATATAAAACTTTGATTCCCCATTGTGGCCCCGCCCTTCCCATGGGGGTCATGATGTTAACAATTTAGAATGTACACTATACCAGGATGCTTCCACATTAGTTTCAGTTTTACTGGCCCAGTGGTTCTTGAGAAGAAGATTTTTTAATGACCCATCCCTATTTTTGTCTTTTCTTGATTATCTCTCCTTGCGAGGGGATATGACCCTTCATTTTAACAATTTATATTTCCCTTTACCCAAGGATGCTCTGTACCAAGTCTGGTCGAAATTGGCCCAGTGGTTCTTGAGAAGACGTCGAAAATGTGATAAGTTTACAGACGGACAGACAGACGGACGGACGACGGACAAAATGTGATCAGAAAAGCTCACTTGCTCACGGAAAAGTTGCCTAAAATCGAAAATCGGGGGGGGGGGGTGGTGCGGGGGGGGAGGTGTCGGTGGGTGGGTGGGTTGTATAGGTAAACCTTTTCTCAGTGTCAACTACTTTCAGTACCAATTCTAATACTACATTTTATGCACATCACTAAATGTGGGTGGGGGGGGGGGGGGGGGGGCAACCAGGCTTTTAATTGACATTTCCTATAGTATAAGTACGGTTGTGAAATAAGTGGGGGTGGCCCCCCCCCCCCCCCCGGCCCCCCTGTTGCTACGCCCCTGAGACCTTCTCACTTTGTTGTCCCTGCGAAGAGATTTGTAGTCTACTTTAAATAAATCTGCAACTAAAAATATAATACAGAGGTCTGTGAGCATTGCACTCAAATAATTATATCCGCAGATATTATGTAAGTAGAATCTAAATATCCACTTTTTATTTATATTGAAAAACAAAATATCTATTTGATCTAAACATAAAGTAGGAGTTGAAGAGTGGTTTTATGTAAATAGCTCTCCAAAAAAATATTGATAGACCAGAGAGCTGCAGTGCCAATTATTGAAAAAACTGTATATATTTATTACGCACAAAAAAGTGCGCTCGGTTCTTGACTAATTCTGCAAAATTCTTATCTCAATTGCAAAAAGGAAAGATTTCAAAAAATTCCAAGTACTGCTGTAGTTGACATCTG